AATAATGTCATCTTCACGATCTATCTCCACTGTGTCTCAAAAATCTTTTACACTATGATCTCCTCCATCGAAATTTTCGTGTTTATGCTCGAAGATTTTTTCTTAATAAAATTACATAATAGGAGTCAACTTGTGGCCTTGGTTCAATTCAATTAGCAACTTTAATTGTACTTTAGAGTGATTTTTACCAATGGAATCGGAATAGTTGGACGCTTGATAAATAAAATCCTAACTCAATATCTTACTGAAAGGAATCAACGTTGAGCATCGATGTTATCACAATTTTCATTGACACCATCTTTTTAACTCATTCATTTCCATTTCCATGGATTATTTTCATTTCTTTTGAAATTTACCAAAGTAACAAACTCGAAGACGCAAGGAATTACTAAATAAAGGTATTGAAAATTTTAAATTAAAAACAAAAATAAAATAAAAAGATGCAGCTGGTGTTTTATTATTATTTTGTTTTATAACTGAAATGTTATTATTGTCCTTTTAATATCACCATGTCCTTATTTGAGCTCCATTTTTTTGTATCAAAATATATTTTGTAACAGTGATTTGATATCATTTCAACCACACATTTTTAATAAAAATAATATTACACACAAATGCAATTTTTTAATTTTTTAATCACACATTTTTCATCATAATACTATTTTAAAATGCGCTTTTTTTAGAAAATGGGGCTCAAACGACCTCCATGTTTTGTAGTTTAATAATCTTATTAATCCTATGTTTGAGTCCCATTCATTTTAAAGAACGTATTTTGAAATAGTAGATTATTGAAAAATATATGGTTGAAAAATAAATAATTTTTTTTTAAATTTGTGTGTGATATTATTTTAATAAAAAGTATGTGATTGAAAAGAAGAGAAAACGTATTTTATAAAATATGAAAATCAAACACCTCCGAGCATGTTTTTGTCTTTAAAAAACTCCCCCATCACCATTGACAGAGTTAATTGTTCCAATGGTCATTGAATTTAGACCCATGTCACTGAAATTTAAAATGTCGAGTTTTTGTCACTAAACTTAGGTCAATGTCTTCGATTGCTCTCTGAATTTAGGTTCATATCTTATATTGCTCACTGAACTTAAAAATGTCGAGTTTTGATTATTGAATTTTGGAATATGACATACATTACTTACTAATATAATTGTTGAACTTTAAAAACTATCGAATTTACAATGAGTAATGTAAAATATTTTTCAAAAATCAATGAGTAATGTACAACATTTTTCAAAATTTGGTGATGGATGTATAATATTTTTCAAAGTTCAACGGCCAAAACTTGACCTTTTAAATTTTAGTGAGCAATCGAAAATATAAATCTAAATTTATCGATCAAAATTCGATATTTTAAATTTCAATAACCAATACTAGTCGTTGACATGTGCGTTGCACAAATTTTGTATCTATTGTGTTTTTATTAGTGTAAAAATTGTAGGTGTTAAAAGAAAAATTGTTGAAAATTTATTGTATTATTCAACAGTCTTGAGAGCATATTATTGCCTCCATAATGCTCTATCCAACAAGTCGATCATTTTAAAAGCTAATATTACTACACATATGATAATAAAACCATTTGTTTAAGTTGATGATTATATGGTATACATTAATCCTTTTTTGATTAGCTTTCTTAACTAAATATAAATACGGAGAGCAAGTCTCTCCATAACACAAAAAGCAAGTCTCCGTGTTATGGAGACTTCACATCTCCATATTATGGAGAGATTTCTCATAATATGGAGGGATCCCTTAGATGATTTTTTTATATATATTTAAAGGATATTTTCTAGCTGCCTTTTTTTTTATACATATAATTTAACATTTAACTTAAAAAATTAAATATATTTAAATATTGACCTAAAATTTCAAGTTAATATTTTTTAACTTATAAGTTATTCTTTAACTTTTAAATAACTTTAGGGGATTTTTTGACAATTGACCAACTTTTTACATTTTAGAAATATTTTTTAACAAAATGATTTAAATAATATTGAGAAAATTATCGCGAAAAAATAATAAACATTAATAAAATAATTGATTTTTTAAAGGAAAAAAATGAGTTATACGTATTTTTTAACACACACGTTTAATACACATTTAATTATTTTTTTATATTCATTTAGACCATTCGATATGTCTATGATATTGTTTTTGAAATGAGATTCGAGAGAATATAGAAGATATATAGATTTGACTACCATACAATCGTCGATGAATTTTTAAAGTTAGTTTGTTATCAAAATTCTCAAAGTAATAGTTTGAAAATGCCTAATTGACGTCCCGTAACATTTGCTACGATTGGCCATTTCGCGAACTGTTAACGATGTGCAATACTATGTCGTGAGTCCTCAAAATAATATTAAGAATGTAATTTCAATTTTGTTTAATATTCCGTGAAATTATAAAAAAATAAAAATACTAATAATAAGACAAAAAATATTTGTAAAATGTAAGAAGTTACTTATAAGTAAAAAATCGCTTAAAGTTATTTAAAAGGAAAAAATAACTTACAATTGCAAAGCAATAATAATTTTATTAGGAATTTTTATGTCCAAAATTTACGTCATACCAGATATTTTTTTTAACAAAATGATTTAAATTATATTGAGAAAATTGTCGCGAAAAAATAATAAATATTAATAAAATAATTTATTTTTTAAAGGGAAAAAATGAGTTATACGTATTTTTTAACACACACTTTTAATACACATTTAATTATTTTTTATATTCATTTAAATCATTCGATATGTTTATGATATTGTTCTTGAAATGAGTTTCGAGAGAATATAGAAGATATATAGATTTGAGTACCATACAATCGTCGATAAATTTTTAAAGTTAGCTTGTTATCGAAATTCTTAAAGTAATAGTTTGAAAATGCCTACTTTAACGCCTCGTAACATTTGCTACGTTTGGCCATTTCGCGAACTGTTAACGATGTGCAATACTATGCCGTGAGTACTTCAAAATAATATTAAGAATGTAATTTCGACTTTGTTTAATATTCCGTAACGAGACTGGAAAAAAAAAAAAAAAACTTAGAATGCTCCGTGACACGGAGCTGGTAGTTGGACGGAGATAAAACATATCTCTGTGCTATGGAGGAATTCTCTACGTGCCCACACATCCTCATTATTTTTTATTTTTTCCCCAAAGTTCATTTAGATAAAACATGTTAGCGTTGAATTAGATTGTTAGCCTTTTTTGCCAATTTTTTCGTTGATTTAGATAAAATGTGTTGGCATAGAATAAGATTGTTAGCCTTTTGTGCTAATATCTCAATTTTTTTTTATTTTTTGGGGGTTTCGGGCTCTTTTTTTATACAGTTTTATTTAAGTCTGTGTGCGTTTTTACTTGTATATATGTTACAATTTTATTATTGATATCATAAAACCTTTTATTTATTTTAATTTCGTATAAAATAACTATTCTTTCCTTTCTTTTATATCAAACACTTAAGATAAACGACGTCGTTTTTTGCTCTTGCAGTAAAAAAAAAAAAAAAACGCGCTACAGTGTGACCTCTTAAGGATTGTCCTTTTTATATGGTAGTAATAGTGAAAAATATGGATTTATTTTATATTTAAAAGTGATTTAGTGTTCGTAATTTCAAACACTTTTATGTAATAAATTATTAAAAAATAAAAATACAAATAATAAGACAAAAAATATTTGTAAAATGTAAGAAGCTACTTATAAGTAAAAAATTCACTTAAAGTTATTTAAA